TGCTTGCAATAGCATGTATTTTCTAAATGTAAAATGATAAATTGTAAGAGGACTGAAATTTTCATAGGGAGAATCCATCATCATGTCATATTACTCCGATAATTGTACTTAAGTCTGGTGTGTTCTCTTGAATGAGCATAACTTTTTTATTCCTCAATGAAATTTTTCCAATTTGGTATCATTTTGCTTGCAATAGCATGTTTTTTCTAAATGTAAAATGATAAATTGAAAGAGTACTGAAATTTTCATAGGGAGAATCCATCATAATGTTATACTCTGTCAATCGGACTGATGTGTTCTCTTGAATGAGCATAACTTTTTTATTTCTCTATGAAATTTTGCTAGTTTGGTATTATTTTGCTCGCAATGGCATGTACTTTTTAAATGTAAATTGATATATTGTAAGAGGATTGAAATTTTCATAGGTAGAATCCATCATCATGTAATACCCTGTCAGTCGGAGTGGTGTGTTCTCTTGAATGAGCATTACTTTTTTATTCCTCAATGAAATTTTGCCAATTTGGTATTATTTTGCTTGTAATAGCATGTACTTTCTAAATGTAAAATGATAAATTGTAAGAGGACTAAAATTTTCATAGGGAGAATCCATCATCATGTAATACTCTGTCAATCGGACTGGTGTGTTCTCTTGAATGAGCATAACTTTTTTATTTCTCAATGAAATTTTGCCAGTTTGGTATTATTTTGCTTGTAATAGCATGTACTTTCTAAATGTAAAATGATAAATTGTAAGAGGACTGAAATTTTCATAGGGAGAATCCATCATCATGTCATATTACTCCAATAATTGTACTTAAGTCTGGTGTGTTCTCTTGAATGAGCATAACTTTTTTATTCCTCAATGAAATTTTGCCAATTTGGTATCATTTTGCTTGCAATAGCATGTATTTTCTAAATGTAAAATGATAAATTGAAAGAGGACTGAAATTTTCATAGGGAGAATCCATCATCATGTTATACTCTGTCAATCGGACTGATATGTTCTCTTGAATGAGCATAACTTTTTTATTTCTCTATGAAATTTTGCTAGTTTGGTATTATTTTGCTCGCAATGGCATGTACTTTTTAAATGTAAAATGATAAATTGTAAGAGGACTGAAATTTTCATAGGGAGAATCCATCATCATGCCAAATTTCTCTGTCAATTGGACTGGTGTGTTCTCTTGAATGAGCATAACTTTTTTATTTCTCAATGAAATTTTGCCAATTTGGTATTATTTTGCTTGCAATAGCATGTATTTTCTAAATGTAAAATGATGAATTGTAAGAGGACTGAAATTTTCATAGGGAGAATCCATCATCAAGTCATATTACTCCGTAATTGTACTTAAGTCTGTGTGTTCTCTTGAATGAGCATAACTTTTTTATTCCTCAATGAAATTTTGCCAATTTGGTATCATTTTGCTTGCAATAGCATGTATTTTCTAAATGTAAAATGATAAATTGAAAGAGTACTGAAATTTTCATAGGGAGAATCCATCATAATGTTATACTCTGTCAATCGGACTGATATGTTCTCTTGAATGAGCATAACTTTTTTATTTCTCTATGAAATTTTGCTAGTTTGGTATTATTTTGCTCGCAATGGCATGTACTTTTTAAATGTAAATTGATATATTGTAAGAGGATTGAAATTTTCATAGGTAGAATCCATCATCATGTAATACCCTGTCAGTCGGAGTGGTGTGTTCTCTTGAATGAGCATGACTTTTTTATTCCTCAATGAAATTTTGCCAGTTTGGTATTATTTTGCTTGTAATAGCATGTACTTTCTAAATGTAAAATGATAAATTGTAAGAGGACTAAAATTTTCATAGGGAGAATCCATCATCATGTTATACTCTGTCAATCGGACTGGTGTGTTCTCTTGAATGAGCATAACTTTTTTATTTCTCAATGAAATTTTGCCAGTTTGGTATTATTTTGCTCGCAATCATCAATGGCATGTACTTTTTAAATGTAAATTGATAAATTCAAAGAGTACTGAAATTTTCATAGGGAGAATCCATCATCTTGTTACACTCTGTCAATCGGACTGATGTGTTCTCTTAAATGAGGATAACTTTTTTATTCCTAAATGAAATTTTGCCAGTTTGGTATCATTTTGCTCGCAATAGCATGTACTTTTTAAATGTAAAATGTTAAATTGTAAAAGGACTGAAATTTTCATAGGGAGAATCCATCATCATGTCATATTACTCCGATAATTGTACTTAAGTCTGGTGTGTTCTCTTGAATGAGCATAACTTTTTTATTTCTCAATGAAATTTTGCCAATTTGATATTATTTTGCTTGCAATAGCATGTATTTTCTAAATATAAAATGATAAATTGAAAGAGTACTGAAATTTTCATATGGAGAATCCATCATCATGTGATACTCTGTCAATCGGACTGGTGTGTTCTCTTGAATGAGCATAACTTTTTTATTTCTCAATGAAATTTTGCCAGTTTGATATTATTTTGCTTGCAATAGCATGTATGATATTGAAAGAGTTTTTTCATAGGGAGAATCCATCATCATGTGATACTCTGTCAATCGGACTGGTGTGTTCTCTTGAATGAGCATAACTTTTTTTATTTCTCAATGAAATTTTGCCAGTTTGATATTATTTTGCTTGCAATAGCATGTATTTTCTAAATATAAAATGATAAATTGTAAAAGGACTGAAATTTTCATAGGGAGAATTCATCATCATGTTATACTCTGTCAATCGGAATGGTATGTTCTCTTGAATGAGCATAACTTTTTTATTCCTCAATGAAATTTTGCCAGTTTGGTATTATTTTGCTCGCAATAGCATGTACTTTTTAAATGTAAAATGTTAAATTGTAAAAGGACTGAAATTTTCATAGGGAGAGTCCATCATCATGTCATATTACTCTGATAATTGTACTTAAGTCTGGTGTGTTCTCTTGAATGAGCATAACTTTTTTATTTCTCAATGAAATTTTGCCAATTTGATATTATTTTGCTTGCAATAGCATGTATTTTCTAAATATAAAATGATAAATTGAAAGAGTACTGAAATTTTCATATGGAGAATCCATCATCATATGATACTCTGTCAATCAGAGTGGTGTGTTCTCTTGAATGAGCATAACTTTTTTATTTCTCAATGAAATTTTGCCAGTTTGGTATTATTTTGCTTGCAATAGCATGTACTTTCTTAATGTAAAATGATGAATTGTAAGAGGACTGAAATTTTCATAGGGAGAATTCATCATCATGTTATACTCTGTCAATCGGACTGATGTGTTCTCTTGAATGAGCATAACTTTTTTATTTCTCAATGAATTTTTGCCAGTTTGGTATTATTTTGCTTGCAATAGCATGTACTTTCTAAATGTAAAATGATGAATTGTAAGAGGACTGAAATTTTCATAGGGAGAATTCATCATCATGTTATACTCTGTCAATCGGAATGGTGTGTTCTCTTGAATGAGCATAACTTTTTTATTTTTCAATGAAATTTTGCCAATTTGATATTATTTTGCTTGCAATAGCATGTACTTTCTAAATGTAAAATGATAAATGGAAAGAGTTAGGACTGAAATTTTCAAAGGGAAAGAATTAAAGAGATAAAAACAATTTCCATTCTCCTGTAGGATAATATATTCTATAAAACATTATGATAGAGAACTTTTAATCCTATTTGTGACAATTATGGAACTTCTTGTCCCATTTCACAACTTATGGGATAAAAAATCCCATGTAAGGTTAAAAATGGGAATTTTGATTCTATAGGAGAAAAAATCCCACAGAACTCATTTTTCTCCCACAGAATAATGGTGGGATATTGGTTAGGAGAGAAAATCCCACCATAATCCCATGGGATTTCTTGATTTCAGGTGTAATATCTTTTAAACTGGAAGATATTCAGGTGTAAAGGTTAGTCCATGTTGTGCGATTAAAAAAATCCCACCGGATGACATAAATTTTTTCTATGTACCTTTGGAAAAGTGGTTGGCGAAAGTCCGGACAAATGTCATGTCCGGAGTTAAATGTCGCACTAGGTAACATACAATCTCATTTTAGGTCTAACCAGAGGCACTGTGAGCACTGAGCTGACTAAATGGACCCCCCCAACTCTCATATGGTTTTAATTGCAAAGTTCATGTTCTATAATTTGTTGTGGAAAATCCGAAATAAGGGTTTTATCAAAAAGTAAAAAGCAAGGTGCACAATTGCATTATTTGATAAAGAATTTATGGAAATATCATTTTTTATTCAGCGGTAAAACCGAAGTTCCGTATGAGAGACAAAATTTGTCAGATAAAAAATAAAATAAGAAATACACAATGGCACTTTGAGTAAAAAACTTTAAAGTTCTCAATAAATTTCAATCAGTGGTGCAGTATAAAAAGATTTGGGGATAAAAGATGGGTACTCCAAGGCGTATCAAACGGACAGACGTACAGCTAGACGGACATACATCCCGATAATTTATACCCTCCAACTTTTAAACCAGGAGGTATAAAAAAACCTATTTTTACAGCTCCCTTCATTACTTCATGAGTACAGAATCTTAAGTTATATTATTAATGATTCAAATGCTGACTGACGTTTTTCATACTAATTGTGAGATCATTATTAGTACACTGAATTGATGAATGATATTTCCATAATTTCCCGATCCTGACAAGGATCACACGGCTGGTGTGACCGGTCGGCAAGGAATGCTCACTCTTCCATGATACCTGATCCCACCTCTGATGTTTTGGAGGTCTGTGTTGCTCCGCCTCTATTTTGTATTATTTTATGGACGTTTGAGCTTGTCTACTGTTCGTTATCTACATATGTTTCATTATGCAAAATGGTGGAGTCAAACAATATGTTAAAATATTTTACAATTAAGCAACTGTGGTGTCAATGAGATTTGTACATATATAATCAGACTATGACGTAATAGAATTGAGTCATGTGACCATGTGTCCTGCATCCCCTATCCCTATTGATAATCAATAAATTTAACATACCTTAGGAAAACCAGCTGTTAAGAATGCACGAGGAACATTGTTCTGAAAATATGAATTTTAGTTAATTTTGATGAAAAAAAAATAACAATACAAGCTTGTAATGATGAATATCCTAACATTCCGCACAAAATATAATCGAAACAAGTCGTCTTTGGAAAAGGTGATGTAGTTAGTGTTCCTTTTTCTCTTATAACATTTTCTGGAAAATCAATTGTATGTTAAAGATATAGCCTCCAACATCGAACCCAATCACGAACCATTTAGTTGTATTCACCTTTGAGTCTTTTTTAATGTGGCTTAAAATTCATGCAGATGGTCTTAAAAATAACATCTACATAGCATAATAAAGGGTAACAAATAGAATAAAATTTTGATTTAGAATTGCTGCTCTAGATGTGTGTGACAATTCTTTTTCTCTACTTTCGCTTTCCTGTTCCAGGGGTTTAATTATTACAAAGGTGAATCTAGGTAACATAGGTCTGCTTAGAAATATTTGAGTCGCCCGCGTAGAGCAGTGATCTTTTTGTTTTGGATTCGAATCTACCGGTACATGTGACTGTTGGACAGAGACCGATGAGTGGTTTAAGACCGAGAAAATCAATAGTCTTGTATTGCTGGAATGGAAAAGATCCTTCACTGCTAAAAGGCTTAGTATGCTAGTAACTGTCGAGCACAGGACTAAATTCACATCCATTTACAAACAAATGGATGTTAAACAAACAACCAAATTATTAAACGTTATATGCATTTATTGCACAACGTTCGTCTTGGTATTTTTTTTAAAAATACCTACTTATTTAGACATGACTTCAATGTTTATTATGAAATATATCAATCCAGTCCCATAGCTTTTTGACTATAAAAAAAATCACCTTTATTGTAAAAAGCTATCAAAAAGAAAATATTGAAGAAGCATTTCTGTCTTCCATAAGAAAATCAAAAGAAAATGATGCAGTTTGTCAATTTCAGTATTTAGCTAAATGAATAGTAGCATATACATGTGTTTTTCTTTACATTGCCACATGTTTCTTTGTGAAAGTGGCGTAAAATTATAGAATTATGAGTCTGAGGAAAAACATTAAATTAAAAAAATGATGAATTTAAATTAACCAGGTAATAGATGATAATACTTAATATATTAACTTGTTCTACATACCGTGTTTAAATCTGGATTTAGATCCAGATAGTCTGGTTCTGGATCTCTGGTATTATCTGCCAAATAATAATATTTCCTCTTAAAAACAATTTTGTGGCTGGCCCCCCTACTTTCAAAATCGATGCTACGTGCCTGATTTCATGAATTAAGCTTTATATTTAAAATGTTCCAAGCTTTTGTTATATCGAATAACATAGGTTTAGATAGGCTTTATTCTTTATAATTAAATTTCAGTGTATACATGTACAAGAGACAATTTTTCCTTATAAAGGGTTATTTTAAAAGTAACGTCAAGCGGAGTGAAACATATTTGATATAGCTCATTGTGACGAAGGTAACTTATCTTATACCATATAGATTAGATCTTTTACCGAAGCAAAAGACGTGTTATAACTAAACTTAAATCATTATTCATAAATTAAGGCTAGTATTACTACAAAAAAGCTAAGGAAACCAGGACAGAATGCATAGAAACATCACTTGTTCCACATGTATGTGCTTATTAATTCTTGTACATTTAGCTTTTACAATAAACATTTTCAAGAACTTGATGACAATTCAAAGAAACTCAAAGCAATGAGTAGTACATGTAGTGTTTTACCTTAAATAAATTACTGATATTTAGGGAAAGATGTTAAATTCCCGAGAAAGATAATAGGAAATGCTATTCACCTTGTACAACGCTCTACTCAGATTCAAGCAAATACGACGGTTGTTCGAAAAGTTCGTTGACGATGTGAATCTTCGTTGTACTACTTTCAAGAAATTTTAAATGAGCTTAAAATCCAGTGTAAAAATATTTGTTTTGTTGATGTGTGAAGTTTTATTTCATTCGATCTTTCAGGAATCAATTTACTTAATTTTAAAATCAACATTTTTGTACCCGCGGAGCTTACTAAACGACAATGTAACGTCAAAACATAGTGTCAATAATTTCTTTAAAATACTATCAATTTACTTTTCAACAATTTAGTTTAATAAATACGTATTAAAAACCTTTTTCTAGCACTTGACGATCATTTTTCAAAAAATTTGGTCTCTCTTTGTATAATTTCCTTCTTCAATGTTTTCTTTCTTTTACCACTTAGCTGTGCTTTAACAACATCAGCAACTCGGACGCGCTTCTGTCTCTCCATCACGTTCCAAATTTTTAAAGGTTTGATCAGATTTTATCAGATAAACCGTTTCTTCACAGATTTTCCTTATCGGATAGAGAGTTTCTGTCACTGAAATACCGCCTGTACCATTTATAAACGCATACTCGACGTAATTGTGACATTTTTTACTCCTTTAACATTTATTGATTTTATTCAGGTTTTTTCCCGAATATGACACAAAATTACATCGTTATCTGCTGTTCTGTAACGTTCAATAATGTCATCATATTTGTGGCTTTCAATGAGGACTACCTAACTTCCAAATTCATTTCTTTTCAACGAATTAAGATATTAAGCCATAATTTGGAATATGAATCAAAAGAACATTTCTTAATTTAATAGTCTAGGATTTTCTTTTTCGTTTTTGCTCCATTTTACAGAGAATATGTCTAAAGACATTGTCATATTCATTTTGTGTGTTGATTGTAAATTACTAAATTTTGACCTGCTCCGCGATCCGATTTTTGCAGTTTTTAATTCTGGATAGGTTTAAATTAAATCATAATAATTTTAAAATTTTTCATACAAATCATTTGGATTTTTTGTTAAAGTTAAAATGTTTCTACTAAATTTGGTTAGTATATGACGTTTAATAAAAAAGATATGAGAGGAGTCCACGAACTTCTCGATAAACCATAGTAGCCTCATAGTCGAGGGCGTTTGCTATTGAACTTTAATTCAATGTATATATATTGATATTAATTTTAAAATGTTTCGACCTTGATTCACTTTGTCCACTGCAAAGGTTCAAGGTTGGAATGATCTTTCAAAAAAGATATTCCCACCAGTCCCCTTTCCTAACGCAGAAACCTTTTCTTTTAATGTATATATTTAAGAGTTTAAGCTATTCAGTCAAAATATCAAACAAATAAATGACATACTCTGTATATCGTATTACGAGTACCCTATCAAGTTCAACCACTGTTCAATTTTTCAATATAACTTCCTTTAAGTGAGCATCAGTTAGCGAGGATTAAGTGACCAAAGATAAACATCATACATACCTTGCAGATCTTTGACATGGGTCTGAAGTGGAAATGAATATACATGTAATAATAAATACATAATTTCAAAATTGATACAATTTGCATTTTTAACATAAGTTTTTGGTTAAATGAAATGTTCAAAATCTATTTGCTTAAAGGTCATGCTCTATGTATGTACAATTTCTAAAACGAGGTAAATTATTGACAAACAAGTTGATGAAACAAAATTATAAGCTGTTTCGTTTATAGTTATCATTTCCTAAGCTGCATGGTCGATAATATGACCTTGTCAGCAAAGACAATTTATCATTTAGTTACATGATGATTGACATTTTTCATATTAATTGTTAGGCCATTATTTACACAATTAAAGACGGACTTTCCCGCCGTTATTTTCAGATCATGACAAGGAGCAATCGGAGGTTGTGACCGGTAGGCAGGGGATGCCCACCTTTCAACGGCACCTGATTCCACCTCTTATGCTCAGGATGTGCCTTTTATGGATTCTGTTGAAAATTACGCCAGACGATGGACCAAATATGAAAAAGACATTGACACCTTGTCAGAATGGATTAAATGTATCAGATCCATGTTAAAGTCACGTATCAAAAGATTGAGGGGCAAAATGAAAACCATCTATCCTTCTGTGTTCAATAAACCAGAAGTGAAAAAAAAAGAATTAGATAGATTACACGATCAGTACGTACTGGTTCCTGCCAACAAAGCAGGTAACAACATTGTCTTCGTTTGTAAGGCTCATTATATAAATTGCATTCTAGAAGAACTTGGATTTAAATCTACAAGTGGTAACCCTACTTATACTTCTCTTTCTAAGGAAGAAATTCTTCAAAATCACCTGTCAGTTTTGAATACTTTTAATATTCCACAGAGCCAAAATGAATTTGAACTACCTTATATATACTGGATTCCGAAACTTCATAAAAATCCTTACAAACAAAGATACATTGCAGGTTCCAGTAAATGTTCAACCAAGCCTCTTTCGTTACTTCTCACTAAAATATTGACAGTAGTGAAGGAAAAACTTCAAGAGTACTGTGCAACTATATACTCAAGAAGTGGTGTAAATCAGATGTGGATACTTAAAAATTCTAAAGAACTTTTGGACAATTTGAAATCACAAGACTTTACAAAAATCAACAGCTTAAAAACTTACGACTTTTAAACTTTATACACAACGATTCCCCACGACAAATTAAAATCCAGGCTTTTTGATATCATTGACAGCTGCTTCTTCAACAAAAATGGAACTCGTAAATTTACTTACCTCGTCATTGGTCATTTGAAAAATTATTTTGTTAAAACAGATTCTGATTGCACATATAAGTACTCTGAAGTTGACTTTAAGAAGATGCTTGAGTTTCTGATTAACAATATCTATGTGGTTTTTGGAGACCAGGTATTCCAACAATCTATTGGACTTCCCATGGGTACAAATTGCGCTCCGTTATTAGCAGACTTATTTTTATATTCATATGAAGCAGAATTTATGCAAAATCTTATGCGTGAAAAGAAGAAAACACTTGCTGTGGCCTTCAACTCGACATTTAGATATATCGACGACGTATTGTCAATTAATAATGAAAATTTCCATTCCTATGTCGATACGATATATCCTGGTGAGCTTGAGATAAAAGATACCACAGAGTCCGACACTTCTGCTTCATACTTGGATATTTTACTTGAAAAAGACACTAATGGTAATCTAACGACCAAGCTATATGATAAACGTGATGACTTTAAGTTTCTATCGTCAACTTCCCTTACTTATGCAGCAATATACCTTCATCACCTGCATACGGAGTATATATATCTCAGTTGATTCGATACGCAAGAGCGTGCTCTACATATGAGCAATTTCTTAAACGAGGTAAATTAATGACAAGCAAGTTGATGAAACAAGAATATCAACAGTCTCGTTTAAAGTCATCATTTCGTAAATTCTATGGTCGATACAATGACCTTGTCAGCAAATACAATTTATCATTGAGTCAAATGCTGACTGACGTTTTTCATACCAATTGTTAGTCCATTATTGATACACTGAATTGACGACGGATTTTTTCCGTTATTTCCTGATCATGACAACGAGCACACGGCGGGTGTGACCGGTCGGCAGGGGATGCTCACTCCTCCATGGCACCTGACCTCACCTCTGATGTTTCAGAGGTCCGTGTTTGCTCTGCTCTTATTTTGTATATTGTTTAATGGACGTTGAGATTGAAAACTGTTCGTTATCTCCATATCCTTCTCCATCCCTATTTTGTTTTGTTTATTGGTATTTGAGCCTGAATACTGTTCGTATCTCAATATATTTCATTCCGGATTTTATTGGCCAAAGCTTGCAAAGTGATTACTTATTCGAGGAAAGATTTTACAAATATCACATACAATACTTACATCTCCTTCCTCAACATCTGAATAATCTGTGTCAGGATCTTCAAGTCGTCCAGTAAATTAATAGAAAAAACAAAAATGAATTCGTTAAAACAATTAGTAAAGAAAGGTACCATGAACCATGAACGATTCACAGAACAAACCTTTTCTAACAAATTGAAAAGATACATGTTTAAAACCTCCAACTTTTAACAAAGTTATTTCAAAAACCATAATATATCAAAAACCCTTTAAACCAAGTTTGCAATCAAAGCAGTATTTTGATGAAAAAAAAAACAAAAAATGAAGAACAATCTCAGGATTAAATTGATTTAATCTGTTAGTACCGAGGAAATGACACTCACATTCTTTCCAAAACAAAACCCCAAAACGCTGCAATCCAATACAAGTCACCAACTATACACTTTCCCAATTATCGTTGATGTCCCTGACATACCCCAAAAACTAGCTAGACATTGATTCAAAGAGAATTACGTTCATGTTATTATAAAAAAAGTTGTTAGTTTAGATTTTAAAAAATGTCTTATAGACTTAACGAGGCCGAGTCTAATTACCTCTGTCCTAGGGAGTTTGATATTTTTTTAAAAATTAAATTTTGATGTTATGTCTATTGTTTTAAGATTAAAAATATCGAATATTTGCCATCTCGATTTCTCAGGGTGGGGGGGGGGATTCTCAAAAGTTGGCAATTTTTACTATTTGACCCAATAGGAATTAAATAGAAAAGCGCCAAATTATCATACTTTCCCATATTTATTGTTTTTCTGTCATAGAGAGCTCTTTTTCATTCCAGTAGATGAAAGTTCTTTTAAAAAATCACCAAACTGAGAAATTTCAACAAAGTTGACCATATAGGTTGGTCTAGCAATTAATAACTAAATTATTTTTATTCAAAGCCCAATACCTCTAAAATTGTCATATTACGTATGAATACACATCAGTGCAGGTGAATTATCGATGCATACGATTTTTTTATGTGTAAAAAACAATGTTTAGATTGCTAGTATGTTTCTTTGGATGTTTTGTCATCAGTTTTTAGTGTAATATCCAAAAGGTGACGTCGTTAGAGTCATTTCAGCGATTTTACCGAATTATTGTCGTAAAATTACATTTTCAGACCAGAAGGGATAACCCTGTATATCATATTACTAGTACACTATCTAGTTAAACCACTTTTCAATATTTTGATATAAGTTGCTTTAAGTGAGCATCATTTAGCGAGGATTAAATGACCAAAGATAAACATCATACATACCTTGCAGATCTTTGGCATTCGTCTGAAGGGGAAATGAATATAATAATGAATATATAGTTTCAAAATTGATACAATTTGTATTTTTAAAATATGTCTATGGTTAAATGAAATGTTCAAAATATATTTGCTTAAAGGTTATGCTCTACGTATGTACAATTTCTAAAACGAGGTAAAGTATTGACGAACAAGTTGATGAAACAAAAATTTCAGCTGTTTCGTTTAAAGTTATTATTTCGGAAGCTTTATCATCGATAATATGACCTTGTCAGCAAAGACATTTATCATGGAGTTAAATAATGACTGACATTTTTCATACTAATTGTTAGGCCATTAATCACACACTGAATTAAAGACGGTCTTTTCAGATCATGACTGTTCTTTATCTCAATATATTTCATTCCGGGTTTTATTGGCCAAAGCTTGCAAAGTGATTACTTATTCGAGGAAAGATTTTACAAATATCACATACAATATTTTCATCTTCTTCCTCAAAATCTGAACAATTTGTGTCAGGATCATCAAGTCGTCCTGTAAATTAATAGAAAAAACAAAAATGAAATCGTTAAAACAAGTAGTAAAGAAAGGTACCATGAACCATGAACCATGAACGATTCACAGAAGAAACCCTTTCTAACAAATTGAAAAGATACATGTATAAAACCTGAAACTTTTAACAAAGTTATTTCAAAAACCATAATATATCAAAAACCCTTTAAACCAAGTTTGCAATCAAAGCAGTATTTTGATGAAAAAAAAAAAACAAAAAAAAAAGAAAACGAAGAACAATCTCAGGATTATATTGATTTAATCTGTTAGTACCGAGGAAATGACACTCACTATCTTACCAAAAACAAAACCAAAAACGCCTAAATCCAATACACGTCACCAACTATACACTTTCCCAATTATCGTTGATGTCCCTGACATACCCCAAAAACTAGCTAGACATTGATTCATAAGAATTACGTTCATGTTATTATAAAAAGAGTTGTTAGTTTAGATTTAGAAAAAAAACTGTCTTATAGACTTAACGAGGCCGAGTCTAATTACTTCTGTCCTAGGGATTTTGATAATTTTTTAAAAATTAAATTTTGATGTTATGTCTATTGAATATCGAATGTTTGCCATTTCGATTTCTCAGGGGGGGGGGGGGGGGCATTCTCAAAAGTTGTCAATTTTTACTATTTGACCCAATAGGAATTTGTTAGAAAAGCGCCAAATTATCATATTTTACATTTTCAGACCAGAAGGGATTACAGATAATGTGCATTTTTTTATTAAAATCAAAATATTTGGAAAAGGTGTACTGTCGAACAAATGACTGCATAAAATAAAAAAGCTGCGCAAAGTCATGCACACTCGAATTAGACTCGGCCGCGTTAAAATTCACGAGGCCTCCCATGTCATTTTCAATAGTAAATTGTTGAATTATCAAGAAATCAGCCAATCCAATATTCAAAGAGATGTCACAGCTTTTCTGGCCAAGTGGTTCTTGAGAGGAAGATTTCTTTTATTGAACCCACCCTATGTTTGTATTTTCTTTATTATCTCCCCTTGTTAGGGGTCTTGGCCCTTTATTTCAACAATTTAAAATCCCCTTAACCTAAGGATTCTTTGTACCAAGTTTGATTAAAATTGGCTCAGTGGTTCTTGAAAAGAAGTCAAAAATGTGAAAAATTAACAGACGGACGGAAGGACAGACAGACGGACGACGACAGACAAAATGTGATCAGAAGAGCTCAATTGAGCCTTCGGCTCAGGTGAGCTAAAAAAGTTATGAAATATTATTAAAAATTATTTTCTCTTCGAGTCGGATGTTAAATCGCCTCTTATTGAAATATTCATGATCACGTGATCTCGCATGCTCACAGTAAACAATGATCCAATATCGTGAATGAGCCGAAAAGCATGATGGTTTACTACGTTTTTAAATACATCCACGTGGGTTAGGAAAATTTGGATTGCGATTTCAAATGACTGCTGTAAAGCCAATTTACAATTTTTTGAAACGTGTTTGAGAAAAATACGAAGAATAGGTACTAATTGAAAATTCTCATCCTCGCATTAACAAACAAACTCAGTTTTCCTTGTTAAAAAGTACATTGAATTACCGCCCACAAAGTCTCCACAAGTTAAAAAGACTTCAGTTTTTAAACTTGATATTTTTTCCATGATAAATTTATCATGTAACTGGTTGAATTAGTTGTTGCTCAGTTATTTGTTACTAGAAATTTAAACTCATGCATTTATTTAAAAAAAAATATTAGAGTTGCACGTTTTTTAAAATTACCTCTGTATTTATAATTCTTATGTGCATTGATCGTAGAAAGGTGTATTGAGTAGGATACTGTATGTTTCGAAGTTGTACACGTTGTAAACATTGTCAATACGTGAGCACACCTCAGAGTTGGCTGCATTTTGTTCCGAGGAATAGTCACGTAAAATTTACTTTTCACTGACAGTAAGGAACGGGAAAATTGTAAACAATCGGACTTATATAATGGAGTGGGGAAAACTCTCCTTTTTGTCATTGTTAATCATTTGTATGTACATTGTACATGTAAATGTGAACATGAGATTAGTAGATAATAATGTACATAATGCATTAAGCGTGTAAATTGCTTGGAAAAAATGCATCACGTCTTTCCGAGAGCAATTTTTAAAAACTAGCGTTTTCGAAAACCACATGTAGTATTTCATGTAGTAACCCATAAATGCATAAAATGCAACTCATTGAGCTGATTGGTCGATTTGTCAGTCACGTTAGTTCCTCCCTGAGTTCTCGCAATGCTTTTCCTGTGCACATGCGCAGATCCAGCATAAACTTCAATCCTTCATAAATGTGCATTAGAATGGGGGGGTAGTTATCACGGGTACTAGTTGTGATATGACTATATATTTTTTACTCATCTATGTCTAGTCTGCGTATGATATGCTAGTCACATAAGCTGGTGATGTACAGTATTGCATTTTTGCCTTTTGATGATGTACAGTTACATTTTCTATACAGGTGTAAGCAATGGAACTTAAGTAGTCTCGACATTATATGTTATTTTGTATATATGTTTTTCTGACAACGTTACAAAAAACTGCCTTTTACATTTTCATGTACCGGTACTCTATTTTGCAGTTGTACTTGTAATTGTTTTTTACAGGGAATGTTAATTTTGATTGTGTTTTTCCTCTGTCATTTATTTTCAGCCGCATGTTTTGTGCAATATTTTACCGGAAAATAAATGACATTCAACTCTCTGATTATCTTATTTTCTATTGGCATTAGGCAGACATACATAAAAAAAATACAGTAAATTGATAATAAAATAAGATAAAGGAAAACGTTATAATAAAGTTAGGCTGTATTAAATAAAATTGTTACAATATAAGTTTTAAATAATGTAAAGTTTAAAACGCTTTTCAGAACTCACACCTATATATATACACTCTTACTGCATTAAACTACCCATTAAATAGAGCTCTTTAGTGTGCAGTGTTTAGAGTGTCCTTAAACGCGACATGAAAGGCTAGCTAGTACACGAAATGAAACATAATACAACCAATCTCTCAAAACCTGTAAACTTATCTATTTCTCTGCAAGTATTATCCACATACATGTTTTGTGGTTGAATATGGAATTTGTTTCACGATAAGGATAAAATTTTTTATTCTTTTTACAAGCATAATGGCACAAATAAAAAAATGTTTTACGAATGAAATAAATTCTTTATTCAACAACGACAAAACCTCGAATTTTCTTTATTCTTTATTTCTTTCTTTCTTCCTTATTGTATGCGTGACGCATTGGTGTTTAGAGCGTCTGCCCTAGAGTCGCGAAGTAAAGAGCCAATCCTTAAACGGGTCGAGAAAACTACCTTATATGGATATTGTTGCGATTGCGCTCAGAGATGCTCAAAGCAAACAATTGTCTAATCCAGTGAATGAGCCGAAAAGCATGATGGTCTACTACATGTTTATTTTTACTACAGACACGTATGTCAGGGAAATTTAGGACTGAAGAATTCAGCTTACATTTTTTTTAAACGTGTTATGAAAAATACGAAGATCGGGTACTAAATAAGATTCCCCATGCTCACATTAACAAACAAAGTCAGTTTTCCTTGTTAAATTATACTTTGAAATACCGCTCACAAAGTCTTCACAAGTAAATAAGACTCAAGTGTTCTTAAACTCGATATTTGTTTATGTGCCATGTTACTGGTTAAATTAGTTATTGCTCAGTTATTTGTTACCAGAAATTAAAAGTTGCATTGTATAAACCAAAAAAAAATCTTAACTTTTTTTTTATCATTTACCTGTTATATATGTATAAACCCTCATACACATTGATAATAGAACGTGAGTAGCATAAATTTCGAATATATACGTTGGAAACAATGACAATACGTGAGCACACCTCAGAGATGATTGTTTTGGACCTATATAAGAATAGTCACGTAAAATTGACGTGAAATGACTTTTCACTGATAGCACAGCAAGGGGAAAGCTATAAACAAACGGACTTGTACAGTGGAGTGGAAAAAACCCCTAATTTTTATCATTGTAAATGATTTGTATATAAATGTGAGCATGGAATTAGTAGATAGTGATCTTCGTATTGTATTAAGTGTGTAAAATGCTTGGAAAAAAATGGCCTTTTAGAAACACACATGTATTTTTGTAGTAAACCATAATGCAACTCATTGAACCGATTGGTCCATTTGTCAGTCACGTTTGTTCCTCTCTTAACATTTATTCCGACGTCACAGAAAATAGTTTCCTCGACCTGTAAAATTGCGTGTTCGTGGAGACCGGTCCTTCGGATGACACTGTATATATACCGAGGTCCCGTGTTGCAATAGGTGCGCATGCTAACAGGGAAAAGATCCCTACCCGCTCAACGGCACTGAGTGCTGAGTACTGGACAAAAGTTGCAGCTCTCCACCGGCAAGTGGTGGCGTCTCAATATGATGAAAAATCGTCTCAATATGATGAAAAATTCTCGAGAGGGACGTTAAACAACATACAATCAATTAATCGTTCTTCCTATTTAGAATTTTCTTTGTTTACCTTTTTTATAACACAGTATTACAAGTTTTTGTCATTATATAGAGGTTAAAAGATTGAAAACATTGTAAGTATGAATTTTAACATTTTCTTTTTGAATGTCTGTTTTTAATCTTTTTGTCTGATAACAAACCAGGGAGTAATATTAACTACATTGTCGACAGAGGGAATGAAAATCGAGTATCTTGCTGCATTTCTGATATGCTCCTTCACTGTCACAAAATATCATTTTGCTATTCTTTCATACATAATATGACATAATATCAGTATAATCAAAAGATTAATTATCGTATATTGTTTTTCACAATTGAAAATATAATATAAAGTGTTTTCATGATTCCAATTAGATTTTTCCAACTTACCATTGGAAGGACTGGTCGGCGCGTCGGATTCTTCTGACTAAGGAAAAAGTATACAGATTTTGTCTTTACTTATTTTTATTACTTGACTATATTTCGTTCATTATCAGAAGTTTTGAAAAGCACAAAATCCTAAAATTCTTAAATTTTGTTTCATTACAAAAAAATTGTGCAATTTGTAAAGCTTTGTATGTATTTAGCAAGTTCTTAATTCACAGAGGATTCCGGATCAATTCTTCGATACTTTTGTTACGTAAATTCAATTGATATCAAAACCCTATTATGCATTATGAATGCATAATTCATGTTTTTCCTCTTAAACAATGTAAAACTATCTTTAATATGTTAATTCCACACGTTATTATTTATTATTCCATTTTTTTTTCAATAAACATTGCAAGTACATCCTACTCAAACAAAGTAAAGAGGAGCAATACCGTGTCTACTCTTCTTTGGCTAACATTCTGTATGTTAACATGGGTTTCTGATATATTTTATCTTTCTTACCGTATGTGGAGTAACACTTTCAAACCCACTAGAACCACTGGAATTACTGGAACCCTAGAAAGAAAAATATGCATCTAATAATAGCACTTTTGAATGTCTGTATTTCTTAGATTTAAGTGTGCATAAATATGTGTGTATCAGAGATAATATTTAAGCTGGTTAATGAGTATTTTGATTTTAAAAGTACTTACAAATATCTAAAACATTATTTTCTCAGCTTTATTAAGTTTCCAAATTAAATTTATTAAAATATCAAAATTACATATCAACATTTGTATATGACTTCTCTTACCGAGTTGTCAAAATTTTTATCTCCTTCCTGAAATTAAATCAACATACAAAAGATTCATTTCTCGGATAAAAGGATATAGTTATACGAAGCATTCTATTTTTTATTTGTTTCAGTTCAAGTTTATGCACGAATTAACCAATGTTTAATGGTTTCTTTGGTTGTTAGTATGAGAATAAATATTGCAGCTGTTGTAGATAATACATGGCCCAGGAGTTATGCATCGTTTTCTATACTAAAAGTTGTAAAAACGTAAATTCCTTTACTAAAAAAATCTCTTACTAGTTATCATTTATAATTTTTATCTATATGTTATATTCATAAAAGAAAGATAAGTTCGTTCAAAATTCAATATTATATACTAGAGGTACTGTGAGCAATGAGCTCACTAAATGATACTCCCCGCCTCAATATAGTTATAATGGCAAAGTCCATGTTTGCTGTGGCCAGGAAACCCAAAATATGTGTCGGATCAAAAAGTAAAATAGGAAGAGCACAATTGCAATATGTAATAAAGATTCTGTTAAAGTTTCATGAAATTTCATTCAGAGTTATGAGAGGAGTTGCGGATAAGAGATGGGTACCCCAAAGCGAAACAGACGGACAGAATTAACGATTACTATATACTCTCCCGCTTTTCAAGCGGGGGGTTTAATAACTGAAATGCACATTATACTTTATCGTGTTTGCCTTGTTATTAACTTATTATATGTATACCCCCGCTTGAAAAGCAGGAGGGTATATAGTAATAGTTATGTCCGTCCGTCTGTCTGTTACGCTTTGGGGTACCCATCTCTAATCCGCAACTCCTCTCATACCACTGAATAAAATTTGATGAAACTTTCACAGAAACTTTATTAAGTATTGCCATTGTGCACCTTCTATTTTCCTTTTTGACCTGACACACACATCTGACACAATAATACATGGACACTCCCATTATATTCATATGGGAGGAGTGAGTATCATTTAGTGAGCTCATTGCTCACAGTACCCCCAGTTGATTTAAAAATCACTGCTTTCGTGAGAAATAAAAGAAATAATTATATTATGCTGAGTTTGCATAATCAGTACACCACCGAACTATAGGACGACTGTCTCACTTGTGGCTCATGCATCATGTGCCAAATGCTGACTAATACATATATTTGGAATTGGAATGGTCGTTTATGTGATTAATAAATGACATAGTATTTTGCCAAGAAAAACAACGTAGTTATCATTTAAAAAATGCCACTGAAAGCACAATATCATATTTCAATAGAATAAGTTGTGGGTTGCTTTACGTTCCAAAAATGCAACAACCCTAAAATAGAATATAAAAGTTATACACACAGTATTGAGACTAGAATAAACTTAAATTTATATGCATATAAAATGTAACAAATTGTATATATAACAAGTTCAAAGACGGGGTATCTTCTGCGACATTCTGCTACGTTGTTCAAACTTTAAAATCTTATATACTTCTTTTGGAAAGGGCGGGATTTAAACTTTTTTCACGATCAAATTTTATTCATGTATAGCTTAATTTCGACTATGTGGATATTAAAAGTTGAAAGAGGTATTCAGTCTTACGATGAACATTCAATAGTAAAAAAAATATATTTGGAAACCACCTACCGACTCCTCGATAAACTAGAGGTACTGTGAGCAATGAGCTCACTAAATGATACCCCCCGCCTCCCATATGAATAAAATGGCGATGTCCATGTTTTGCTCTGGAAAATCCAAAATATATGTCAGATCAAAAGGTAAAATAGGAGGTGCACAATGGCAATATATAATGAAGATTCTGTGAAAGTTTCATTAAATTTCCTTCAGTGGTATGAGAGGAGTGGCGGATAAGAGATGGGTACCCCATAGCGTACCAGACGGACGGACGGACGAAAATACCGATTACTATATACCCTCCCGCTTTTCAAGGGGTATAAAAATGAAAATCTAATAGATGTACAGCTCAACGCACTTTCAAACTCAAATGGTTTTTCGCAAAAATTAAGGTCACATAATTCTTGCAATAACACTTAATATAAACAAACTTCAGCACGAGTCATAACCTTAATATGTAATAATCATTTAATGTCAAAGGTACAGTGAGGTCGCCAATTCCGGGTCACGTCAGGGTTTTTCGTTGATATTTTGCAAATCTGTTTATTACTATTTTATGTAATATATGTATTGAAAGAACAAATAGTGAGTCATCCAACCACCTTTTCGTTTTTTGAAGTAGCTACACGGGAACAATATTAACAGGGGTATTTCAGCAAGGCCTTGCTTCCCGAGTTACGAATCATTTTCTCCATTTCCGGGTCATGTGACTTCACGGTCGTGTAATATACATGGAACATTTCGAAACACGATTTTTATGATGTTAAAACATAAAACAATTCATGCAGCTTAGAAAAAAGTAAAACAACCACAGAAATATGTTTAAATTATTTTTAAAACAATTACAACAGAACAAATTACAGTATGCAGAATTTAACATGTTTAAAAAATTGTATTAGGATTAAAAATGATGCAATTAAATTCATTTATTAAAAAATGCATTTGAAGGCTTAACTCGGTTTTAGTTTTTAGAAAAAAAATATTTTCCAGTTAGAATACTTTTGATAATCAAGGTAAATACATGGTTGTCGATTGGTTTTGTAAATAGAATTTTGACATGTTCAACATGTTCAAGCCACGAGATTGCGTGACCCGCAATTGGAGAACATACTACAGTTAGATTTAACAATCATTATCAATTTTTTTTGAGCAGCGATCATTATTATTGATTTCTGAGTTAAAACTAAATGCATTTGCCATACTTTTGAGCTTTTATTATTTATATCTAGAACTTTTATATCAGCCTTTCTGCAGCGAACAAAAAACGAAAGTAGCCCGTCACCGCAGCAGAAACATCCAAGCCTTTAATGCGTGCGTTTTAGAATTTCGATTGTCAGATGCTCTCTTAAAGTTAATATTCAAAATTTTGTTATTAATTACAAACAGAATGACCAGTTCTTCATGACCAGCGTATTCATTAAGTTTTTGCGCTTAAATTTTAACAATATGGCATTAAATACACGCGAGTGACCCGGAATAGGAAACGACCCGGAATTGGCGACCCCACTGTACATATTCTAAAAATCATTATCGTAAGTTTTCAACGTCGATGTTTTACAGGGGACTTTATTAATAAATGGTATGATCTTTTATCTATACGATTCTGCATAAGTATTTACAAATTAAATTAACTGAGTGATCTTTGATACCATTTAGTAGAAAATTTAAAGCTGACTTTTTTAGATGAGTTTTTTAAGTGCTTTGCACATCTTGGTTCTGTCGAAACAAATCGCCGAAAAATGACAATGTTGTGTAAAGGAAAGGATAATAAAGTATTGTTTATCTTTAAGATAGCAAATTGTTGCTATTGAAAAGAAAATTATTTTACATTTATGGTCTGAAACTTTAAAAATTTTGCTGTTGGAAGTATCTTTTATGATGCAAAATTTCAGTAAGTAACTCTGAAAGAATGCCTTTAAATCTTTTTAACATGGAAAGTAGTAGAATAGCTGAGAAATACTGTTATCATCCTACGCCTTATTGTCATATTATTGCACAGAAAATACAGATATTACATGAACTGCATGGACTGTATTAATGTCTAGGCAAGGCAAAGGACTGCTTTAAAAGAACAGATACAAAAACGACTGTATTAATTTGACGAGAAACCATATGGGATATGTCATAATTTATCAATTCAAGAGCATTTTAAAATCCTACCAAATATTATGTGGAAATTATGTTCGAAGTTAGTGAATTAAAATCAAATCAAATCAATTAGTTATAAATCAATTCAAAGTATGTTTTGTTGCCTTGTTACTCCAATTCGCATTATAACAATGTGACGTTAATTTGTGCAAAAAACCATGTGAGTTAAAAAAGTGTGTTGAGCTATAAATACTATTATAGTAATTTTTCCTAAAGAATAAAATGTCAAACAAGATGCATACAGTGACAAATATCTATTAACATTGTGTACCTGCCTTCTGAAAATATGTGAAAAAAATTATATTCGACTTAAAATATTTACAAACCTTACATAATATTTGATATAACAATCATCTACATTAAATTTAATGTTTTTGATTATTTTATTTTTTTTTTGTTAGTTTTATTTAAGTCTTTAAGTCTTGTAGATTTATTTTGTATACTTTGAGTTTGATTTCTTCGAATTTCAAAATGTAAACTAGAATCCGAAAATTGAGGAAACTTTTTGAGCTGTCCTTTAAATATAAAATTTTGAAAAGGAATATCTGTTAACATTCTGAACATTATGAACCTATGCGTATCAAGACAGCTTTTAAATGCCTTTTGTCACATTATTATTTTTGTGACACAAAGAAGCAATAACAATAACAATAACACTAAATATACAGACACGTACACAAAGCGAATTACATGTTTAGGATTATCTTTGAAGAAAGTTTAGGGGATTTACCTAAAAATTAAAAAGTTTGGTAAGTTTATTACAACAGTGTTTTAAACCACCCAGTTACGTTTTGCTAATTATAATAATTAAGTTATTATGTAATTGTAAGGATACACGTTTTAGCATATTTTAATCATACCCCCCAAAATACGACAATTTTCCATTGTGCAAAGAAAATATTGCATAGTAATCAAAATTGTAACATATGTACCTTTCTAATAAATTTGGCGTTATATACTCTAAGTATCATTGTTTTTGAAAAGAAATATCTGCTAAAATAGATTCT